CAAAGGAACAACATGCAAACCGTCTCCTTGTAGGCACTGCAGCTCCTTAGATCCAGAATGGACCTTGGAAAAAGTGTCACACAAAAAAAATCAATATAGGAACAAAGGATTATCAAGGGTCCCTTCAGACATTGAGTCCTACCCCCCATTTCCATTTAATCAAGGATTATACATAATCCCAAAGCGTCCTCGAAGCCTCTGTTTCATGAACCCTCAGGTGGGGGCAGCTCCCCAGCACCCTACAGCAAACCCTAGCCCCAGAGCCATAACTGCAGATGCTGCAAGGAGAGACCAGGAGGAATCAAGGGGACCGTCACCGCTGATGTATTCATTGCAGCTTTACATGGTTGCTAGCACAGGTGTAGCAAAACCAACTTCCCCTCATCATGTGGTGAACAAAAAGTATTGTCTCCAGATCAGTCATGGAGAAAGACAAACAAAAAGAGACTGTGTGAAAGTCAGTCTAGATTTAGCAGATGTGTTTCTGAATGATTTTCCCTTCTTTTAGCTTGGATTGAAGTCCACGCTGTTTATCAAATATTTCAGCATTATGGGAGGTGGAGGTCTGTGCTGAGGGTAACGAAAGGAGAGAAGCCGTGGGGAAGTGAGGGGTTTGACAGTCCCTTCCCCTCTCATTAGCTCAGGCTCAGCTGTTTCCCGACTGAAAGAGCTGGGAGAGGGGACTTTATTTCCCCGGGGACAGAGACATCATCAATTATCTGCCATCCCCTGCTGCGAGCTGTCAGGGAATAGGGCAGAGAAAAAATACTGATAGGATTTCACCTTATCCCTCAACTCTGCTGATGGGCTCATCATTCAGCTGCCGTGCACTTAGCACAGGCAATACTAATTATATTAATTATGCTCCTACACAGCGCATGCTTATATTAGCAGTAAGCAGACTGGTGATTTTTAAAATAAAGCATCATTGGTTCATTAGCTATATAGATTTAAAAATGTAAGTGTATTCATTGCATCCACAGCTGAGATGGACCTCTTGAATCTCAAAACCATTTAATAGCATTTTACATGTGCAGTATGCTTCAAATTGAGAGCAAAATGCATATTGTATCTAGAAGACAGTAGTGTTATTTCAGGTAACTACTAAATGATGACTTAGAAACTTGATCACTGCATTGGAGTAGCACCAAAATCCCCTTTGTAGTGTTCATAGATATATATGGAGAGAGATATATATATATATGGGATACTATAGGGATACTGGTCAGGTCAACAAGAGATCTGGGGGGTAAGTCCTTGTGGGCTGAACCTTACTGAAATCATACTAGTGACTATGTCTGTGCATATAATCAGAATAAACTGTATTATTAAATTCAGAGGTAGGTTTATTTAGTCGATAGCACAGAGGCCTGTAAATGGTTTAAGAGACAGGAAAGTGAACCCCCCCCTACAAAGTATATTACAATAATGTGGCAAGTACTCATCACTCCAAGTGTATTTGCTAGATGTAGGTATCACAAATAATCCATCAATGTGGTGCCCATATCCAGCCCCTGTCTATGTGAATCTGGGCTGAGGGGCTGCTGCTGCTAGGCAGAGTCAATGCCATTTTGTGAGGTCAGTTGGAAGTATTTGAGATGTCAGCAATATAAGTTTAAGTCTTCAAGAACAGATTGTGTTTGTACAATAGAGTCAACCTCTAACCTGACAAACTGAAAAGGAGCTGAACAGAACTGGGAGATTTCATCAGTTCTGACTCTGTTACCTCCTTTTATCACAGTTTTCTTCTGTACAGAAATGAAACATACATTAATCACCAAGATTATATATAATATATAGAGAGAGCACAAGCCCATCTGGGTTCTGAGTTCTGATCATTTTATGCAAAAGCAAAGCAAAAGTAGCTCCAGGCAGATCTTGAATTTGCATTTCAATTGCATTTCTTCTACACACACTTCTCCTTTCTTGAGGAAAGCCTTAGCTACTAAAGCATTGTAAAGCCATCCAAGTGCTTAGGTGAAATAAAGGAAATAAATAAGTAAATTACTTTTCAAAATTTATTACATTTTTAAGCTTTCCCAAAGGAAAAGAAGACCAAAGCATTTCCAGTGTGTCTGCACATGGTCACACATGGACACAAAGATTTTTTTCAGAGTGAAATCCATTAATCTTTCATTCACATTAATACAGATGATATTCCTCATGTGGAAGATGTTTGCATTTTAACAAGAGTTTTGAATCTGAAGTAATTACGTTTTTATAGCCAATGTGGTCATGATTAGCATCCAACTTCAAGTTTGGTTTTGTTCCTCCTCTTATTTTTTGAGGAATGGCTGATGTTTCTGCAGTTAAATGTCCTCTGGCTGTCAGTGTTGTTTAGCTTCTACCATCCCAGGTCTCCAGATGCTGTCGGGGCCTGTGTTAATCATCCTATCAAACAATGCAAGTGCCCAACACTTGTAAGGGATTTTCTGCTCCTTGGCTCTCTGGACCCAACCTTTAATTGCAAATCTTAGTGTGCAAATAGGAGCATACAGCACATAGCATGGTTATTTGCAAAACCAAAGAGAACTTGCTGGGTGGAGCCCCAGAGAACTGTGATGGGTTGGTTTCTGCTTTGTCTCTTGGGAGCTGGTTCTCAGTGGGCTTTGAACTGTTCGGCATCAGCTGGCATGAGTAGATGCTGTACTGTCTGCAGGGATGTGAGGTTTGACCCTGGAAGCTGCAAAGTAGCTTCTGCCAAGTGCTGGGTACCAGCAAGCCTGAGCACAGCTCAGTCCTGCAGAGGTGTGCCAGGAGCCTTAAGGAGCCAGAGGGAAGTGTAGGGGCAAATCTGGACTCTTCACTGACTGAAGGCTCAAGTATCTCCAGCTGTGGCTGGATCATGTTTATGTCTGTGCGAGTTAGCCAAAACTCATGTTCACTGTGGTTTCTCCTGAGCCTACAGGGATTGTTTGCTCCAGAGCCCCTCCTGCTCCCACCCTCTCCCTTTCCTCCATCTCTCCTGGTTGTGGGCTTTTGCTCACAGCCTTGGTGTGCCCAAGAGCAGCTTCTCTATCCCAAGGGTTTATCCTCACTGTGGTTGAAGTGGCTCAGTGCTGCATCCAGGGACACAGATGCTGGAGCACTATTACCTAATGGCCACAGTGGAGGAGAAAACTCACCTTAACTGCAGCCCAGGCGGTATTGATGAGGGTTGTCCAACCCTTGCTTCTAAAACTTACAGATTTACACTGTTTTTGTTGTGCAATAGACAAAACTTCACATTACCGGTACTGCTGGCAGTGCTGGGACTGGAAGAAGTATTTCTAGCAGAGCTCTTGCAGAAATATCCCTGACAAAGCAGGTCCCGGGGCAATGCAGTCCTCTCTGTGGAGAAACATAGCTTGCCATGGCACCTACTGCCAGCTCAGGGAGTATTTGCCCAGCCTAGAGCTACAAATTAAACATAACTGGATGGCACACAATGTTTCCCTATGTATTTGCTTTCTCCAGTGAGTGTTTGCTGTGCAGCCACCACAAGGCTCTGGAGCTTATCTTTGATAAATATGTTTGGTTGTGAATGTCCGGCCTTCATGAGCGGCAGCTTTTTTTGGGTGCTCGTACTCATTCCCTGTAGGTCGTGGTTTCACAAGAGCATCAGCTCTGTCTGCCATGTAGTCCTGCCTTGGCACCAAACTTGCCCCTTAGCCCAGCTGTTAGAGCAAAATGAACTGGAGGCATGGGGCAGGCCAGGTCCCGCTTTTAAAATAAAAGGGGGAAAAAAAATTGCCAAAAGGTCTCTTTTTCATTTTTTGTCAGGTTATTTTTAAGCTGGCCTAGTTTCCCAATCTGTTTCACAGTGCAACAGTGTTAGCAGCTGTGCTGGCACCCTGGAAAGGGAGGAGGTGGTGAGAGGACTGGTCCTGCAGGATGGAGATGCTGGTCCCTAGCAGCACCCACTGACCAGTGCCCACTTCTCCAGCATCCCCCTTCACTCCCTGTTCCCTACCATGCTGCCTGGCCTCAGCTGGCTGTGATACTCCTCAGACAGCTGGGTGAGGCCATTCACCTCACCAGAGCAGCACAGAACCAAGGCAGCAGAAGAATCTGCTTGGTTGTCTGCTGAGGGCAGCTAGCAGCAGGGTTGAGACAAGGAAAACAGCAGATCAAGGAGAAGGGGAAGAGGGACGCATCCCCCTCTCCCCTTGGGCAGCATAAAGGTAATGGAGCTGTTGTGGACCACAACAGTGTTTGTGATTTCTTTGAGAGTGGATTGAAATCACCTTAGTTTGGTGTAGATGCTGAGCTGGGCGTTGAAAATGAGCACACACACAGAGCAAGGGCATCTTTCCAGGGTGCTGAGACCCCCTCATCCACCCCAAAACATATGAAATGCAGAGCATACAGTGCCAGGAGCTTGTTTACTCATCTCTTGTCGTGGTGGAGAGCATCCCTTTTTCATCACAGCACGCCATGTCTGTGCATGCACCCACCGCATCTTCTTTCTCAGCAGCCAGGCGGGAACAGCCACGAGGAGAACAAGAAAGGATCAAAGGGGAGCTGCAGGATTCATACTGATTCATACTGAATGAACCTTATTTTTTTAATTTTAATATCTGTAATAACACTTCCCAGTGATGGTGAGTGCCCCCAAGAGCTCTACATACTCCCAAAATAATCTCCGGGATACGTTGATGTGGCAGATGGGGACACCAGGGCTGGGGGAGAAGCATGCCAGGCACAGCAGAAATCAGTGACAGCATTGGGATCAGCATGCTGAAGCATCTGGTTTCTAGTCCCACATCCAACCCCTCTTTGTGTCTCCAGCACATTTTCAGTAGACCCTGGGGCATAAGTCAGAAGTGAAAATAGGACCATTTTTTTTTGTGGTGGGACAATTTGGCAATGCAAACAGATTCATGCCCTGGCTCTCAGCCCCTCGTGGGGTTCAGTTACCCCTTACCATGCCTGATGGGCACCAGGCAGTCCCTGCCTCACCATGGCCTCTTACCCTCCATTGTCACTGACCTGCTTTCTATTGTTTTTCAGGAATATCTTCCAGGCTCCCCGACATCATGTCAATAGGATCACATTCATTCTCTCCAGGAGGTCCTAATGGGATTATTAGAAGCCAGTCCTTTGCTGGCTTCAGCGGGCTTCAGGAAAGACGCTCCAGGCAAGTGCTGTGCTCTCTGAGAGGAGTTTCCAAATCGGGTGCTAAGGGAGGGTGAAGATGAAAAAGAAGCGATTGCAGAAGAAACTCTTCTTGGCTAAAATTTCTCTCTATATTGTTTGTGTAATTAAGCTGTTGCCCCCTGCCTTAGCTACCAAGTGCTTGTTTGCCTCTTCCTTATTAATGCAAGGCTCCCTCACATCCCTCAGAGCTGTGAGAGCATTTCAGAGACTCGTTTTAATTTACTAACTTATGCAGTGATCTTCTCAACACGTGAAATGTGCAGGAACATGATGCACTTCCCACCGCCCCCAATTTAAGGCCGTTGCTACCTAAAATACAGTTCTCTCATTGCCACGCTGCTATGAATTCAGAACAACTCTGCTTCCCTTGCAGGGCTGCCTTCATGTCCTGCTGGAAACAGGGCAGAGCTTGGCTGCAGAGCCTTTCCTTGCACTGCCCTTTGGCAAGACAGGGCTTAGGGCTTTGAGTCAGGCACTTACCAAGTCAGCCAGCTCCTGATGCACCCACAGACTACTTTACGGTTAATTTTAACTCATGTAAAGTCTCTGAGTGCCACACCACCAGTCAGCTATTGAGGAGGAATGGCAGGCAAAGGGTTGCATCCCATCATCAGCTCAAGCCAGTGGTGGTTGTTAGGTGCTGACCTACACCCAATGGAGTGACCAAAGAGACACCTATATGCAGCACAACTATCCATTTTGCCATATGGAGCTACCTATGCTGAAGACCAGTGGCATGATGCTGTCCTCCAGACATGCTCTTAATCAAGCTTCAGTCTTCCTTAGAAGCACCCAGAGTTTATGCCCAAGATTATCTGGGCTCCTCTTCATTTTTAGCACCTAGATGTAGCTTAGTCCTTTTATGGCTGTGGCTGAGCAACATGAGGCAGAACAGGCACGGTGTCAGACACAGAAACGTCTGATGAGCCTCAGACTCAGCCCAGTGTTTCCAGAGCAGCAGTTACATCTTGGCAGGGCAACTGGCACATCAAAAGATGACAGCTCCTGTCCCAGGCTGCTGAGACCTCGTAACTCATAAACAAATGCAATCCTGTAACTGGCAGGCACAGAAGCAGGTTTGTTTCTGCTAGCAGAGACAATATCAGAAGATTTCTTCAAGCTATGCTCCTTTGAGATCATTGTGATTTATAGGGTTTTCCTCCTCTTTAATGTTCATTTTGCAGGTGTAACTCCTTTATTGAAAATTCCTCGGCACTCAAGAAGCCCCAAGCAAAGGTGAAGAAAATGCATAATCTGGGCCACAAGAACAGCAGTACGCCCAAAGAGCCCCAGCCTAAAAGGATGGAAGAGGTCTACCGAGCCCTGAAGAGTGGCTTGGAGTAAGAGCCCTTATCCTGCTTGTTGATTGAAGATTTCTGTGATGTTTTAGAGCCTAGAGAAACATACCACAAGAACAAGGATCCTTAATGATAGTCATCTTGGTGCCTGGATTATAACATTTAGGATCTGAAATACCTGTATGGGAATCAAGAATACAAGGGGTAGAATCCCATTTTCCCTCAAATTGCTAGGAAAGCTCCCAAAGGCTGGGATCTCAGCATTAGATTTTTCTCCCCCTCTGAATTTCCTAGAGTCCTATCAGAGGCTTGTATCACCTTTAAGATAACATCCCAGACGATAAGGGGGCTTTCACCAGCCAGATACAAGGGCAGCGACTGGAAGGCGGCAGCCCATAACCTAAGCAGTAGATCAGCTTACTTGAAAATGGTTAAGGAGAACACCAAGCTCTTATACACAGCTAAATAAGTGGCTCCTATTTATTCCCCAAATGCTGCTTTTAGTACAGATCAGTGTAAATGAGTTTTTGTCTGAAAACGCATCCAGTGAGGAAAGTAATTTGTGGTGCAGATTGGCTTTTAGGTTGGTCAGCAGCCAGGTCAGTATGTGCTGCAGAGCTCATGCATCCCTTCTCTGGTTTGTGTTTACAGCGAGTATCTGGAAGTTCACCAGACAGAGCTGGATAAGTTGACCACTCAGTTAAAAGACATGAAAAGAAACTCACGCCTGGTACGTGTCATGCTTTTTTTCATCATGCGGATGCTCAGTAACCTTCTCGAGGTGCTGGAGCAGCCAGGGGGTGGGAGTAGGATACAGGGAATTTGCCTTGATGCTCTTCTTCCCTTCCAGTCCTGGTTGTGTTTGTGATTTCTGTTGGCTGACAAACATTACTTTCTCGTGGTGCTGTTATGTTGCAAAATTAATCACGGTTTCATCTTCTCTGTTGCAGGGAGTCCTGTATGACTTAGATAAGGTACGTTACCCACTTTGACTCTGGTTTGGAAAGGAAGCATTAGTAAACGTATGGTGTACGTAGCTGGCATGGGAAACCTCAGCTGACTCTAGTAGCCAGGCCAACACCACCTAGAGAAAAGTTACCTGACAATTAACATTCGTGAAGGAAGAAGTCCCACTTCCCTCCCCTTCCCAAGGGCTCTGGTACTTGCCAGGCACCTCTGCCACCCAGCTGTGCTCACTAACCTAGCATCAAACTTACTTACTGTGGCAGGGGCACATGGAGGGTGGCTGTGGGAGCCCCAGCCCATCCCTACTCCTGACAGTTCTGGGGAAGAAAAATTGAAAAAAAAAGATATTTTTCCCTGCAGGAAAATTTGGGTGAAACAAAATGAAAGCTTTCAAAAATGTTTCCTGAACAAGTCTGTTGATTTTTTTTTTCATTCAAAATGTCAAGCTTGGTTGTGCTGTCAGAACCAGTTAGCTGAAGAACTGAATGGATTTTGAAATGCAAAACCTGATCAATTTTAATTCAGGTTTTCAAAATACTCAAAATACTATATTTCGAGCTAAAAAAGCTTTGATCCTTTTTTCCCCCTTCTTTTTTAAGAATTAAAGAAAAAAAATAAGGAAATCCCATCAAAGGAAAACTTTATTTTTGTTCAAAACTACATTAGGTACAGAAGTCAGTGAGCTCCATTTTCAGCAGCAGATTAATGGTAGCAAGGGGGGACAGCTAATTCCAAATTCACAGGCAACGGAACTCTGAATGTTTTGAAGAGTTTCTCAGACTTACAGGGACTTGAAGACCCAAGCAGAGCTGGTATGATGATGACTTACTGATTTATTTAAATGTGCCTCTCCATTTCCTTCAGCAAATCAAAGCGGTTGAACGATACATGAGAAGGCTGGAGTTCCACATCAGCAAGGTAACGGGCGCTCCTATCATCTTTCTGCTGCCTCTGCTCCTACGTTATTAGGAAAATAAACCCCTCTGCTCTGGGGAGGCTGCCTTGGTGAAGCCTCTCCCAGATTTGGTATTTTTACTGCGATGGGCTGGTGGTTGGAGCCAAAGAAAGGGTTTCTACATGGTTTGTAGCCCACAAGGTCCAGCCGTGCCCTGAGACACTCCCGCCTGTTTTTAGGGGCAGAGAGAACACAGAGTCAGGCGCTTGCTGGGAAAAATCTATCTCACTGAATGCTTATTGTTAAAGTATAGGTAGAGAGAGAGAGTTGCATCTGAAAGTAATTTAATTTGGCAGTTGTCTCTACTGTACACAGCAGCTTGATTGGATTTATTCCTGGATTTCACTGCTAACACTTTTGCTGCGTGGTTTGGGGCCCACATCCACTTGATTACGTTGGTGAGAATACTCAGCAGAGGTACTTGTGATTTATACTAATACATTTTAGAGCTGGACATAATCCATGGCATGTATTCTCTTAGTTATAAACATATCTGCTAGCGATTAGTTGCTTTTCTGAGCCTGACAAAAGAATGAATTATTTTTGACGGATGAAATGTCTTTTGGGAGTCATTTGAAAAGTGCTCACGCAGCTTGAAGTGCTCCAATTATGACAACCTATCCAAACCTTTTAATTTCAGTCTTCTCTTACTCTTGGAGCTGAAAAAAGATATAAATCATCAGGCGATAGACGGAAATTTTGTTCCCCAAACCACCTTCTCTCTTGCTGGCAACATGAATGGCAAAATTAGTGCTTAAAGAACATTTCCATTCAAGTCCTTCCCACTCCAGCCTGCTCAGAGCTTAATAGTTTCTGGGCTTATAATAGGACTGAAAAGCCTCAAATGCAAGAGGTAATGCTGGTCAGTATTACTCAGGCTTGCCGAGTACATTGGTTCACTTTCTGTAACCCCCAGCAACAGAGACAAAAGGAGCCGAGCTGTGCTGTCTTAAAGCTGATGGGCTCAGCCAGGTAAAGAAATGTCTTTGTTTCCAGTGGTAGAGAAAGGTTTTTTTGGCAGTACTGAATCAGGGCCACAGCAGTGCCTTCTGCCATCTCCCTACCACCGCTTGGTAGGGGAAGTAGAGCAAGGAAAATGGGGTGTGCAGCTGCAGACCCCAGATATTGAGGGGGCCATTTGCACATGCCGTAGCCTCGCTTACATGGGCAGGAGTAGGACATCAGCCCTGGGTTAATGCTGCACCCGGATGGCAGAAGTAAATACCAAGTGACAGCTATTTATAGTGGCTGTCTTTAACTTGCTGACTTACAAGAGAGAAATAAGAGTGGATATGACTCCAATAAGCTTTTTTTATAACTTTGAAATGGCAAAATGCTACCTGTGCCTCCGTTACCCTTTGCTGAACTCTTTCTCTTTGCAAAGCGGTCCCTATTTTGGTTAGAGATCCCTCAAGTCAGGGGCTTTGGCCATCGGGAATCCAAGCTAGCCTTGTAAAAGTCAACCCAAGGCTTCGAAGCCATCAGGAAGAACAGTCCCTTTCCAAACAAATAAGCAACCGCACTTTTTGTTAGGGGTTAAGCAGGCTTGGAAAATGGGATTTGGAACACGCCTGGATTGTCACATCAGGCTCATCTCTAATGCAGCAACACAAAGTCGCAGACTGAGGAAACCAAGGCGCTGGATGATATCATAGAGAGAAACTCTTCTGTGAAAATCCTCTACTGGGCAACAAGCACCATGGGGCATGGGGCGATTGCTTGATGTCAGAGATTACGAGGGAAAATGTTATTCTAGGTAGAAAACAAATACTGCTCTATCTTAGCAGGGACATTAGAAGCAGAAAGAAGAGACAGCTTCCTCTGTTCATTTCCTCCCCCTCACCCTGATAAAGTCAGATTAGAAAGCCTACATATCCTGTATCTGGCAGATTAAATTTTTATAAATATATATCACTATATATAGCTGGTGTGTATATATATACATACATACATACAGATACACCAGCTATACCACTGTAGACTTCTACCAAACAGTTCAGATGGAGTAAATGTATGCATTCAGTGCAGAGATTAGAGGGAAAAGGGAAACCAAAGCATGGGACTCATGTAAATCCATTGCACTCTGAAGCTAAATACTTGTGAGACTTTAAACATGGTGTCAGTAGGTTTTGCAAAACTTCCAGGTTGTTTACTAAATACTGGGTGCCAAAGTCATGCCAAAGGACTTTAAGAAGGTGACTAGGAAATTATATGAATGCCTATGGGACTAAAGTTCAAAATAGTTCCTAAATTTGACATCAACTATTTCTAAGACCTTTACTTGTTCTGACTGTGACTTCCAACTTCTGGTGGATGAGCAGTGAGAAATCAAAAAAATCACTCTCTGCTTCCAATATTACCCTGTTAGTCTAATACTTCAACAGCCTTGACCCATGGCTGGCATTAGCAATACAGAAGACATCGCTGGCCCTGTTAGATGTGCCTTTTAACGCGTCCAGTCCCCTTTGGCAGTGTGGATATTGCAGTTGGCTTTGCAAGAGCTCCTCCATCCCTATATATTTGAGAAGGTTACGTGCCTGCCCTACCATTATGGTTGCACGTAGCCCAGACAGGGGGGAAAGAGAGTAGCAATGGTTAAAGGCAGGCAGAGTAAGCAGGTGAATTGCTGGCAGCATCTGGTGTTGCTGTAACAAGGTTTTTACAGTGCAAGTTATTTTTATCTTGTGTTTCTGTATTGCAGGCTGTAACAGTATCACAGCTTCATTTGCTCACCCCTTCCAGTGGATCTAACAGTTTGGCTTAGTTTCCTTGTAACGCAAATGACTCCATTGTTTGCTGGATTTATTTTGTTGGGTTTTGTCAGGTTTTTTTTAAAAGCACCTTCATTGTTCCCACTAGGTGGATGAGCTTTATGAAGCCTATTGTATCCAAAGACGTCTCTGTGATGGTGCCAGCAAAATGAAGCAAGCCTTTGCAATGTCTCCTGCCAGCAAAGCTGCTCGAGAGAGTTTAACTGAAATCAACAGGAGTTACAAGGAGTACACAGAGGTACATCCTCATTGGTTTAGTTGTCTGCCATGGCAATTTTGCCACTGATTTCGGGGAGAATTTAGTTCAGATAAGAGAATTAAAAGCAAACTCAACAAAGAAGAATTATTATTTATTTGTTTGTCTTCAGGTGAATACCTGATTACCTACAAAGACAGGTTATATGGGCCCAAAGAGTTTCTTGAAATAATAATCTTTGTGCTCTGTGAGAACAGGGTTAGACCCAGGAACTGCTGCACAGGAAAAAAGCATAAAATTTGCCCTGCTGCATATATTCTATGTCCTTCCCACCCCATAGGTTTTGGGGTGGCAGGTTGGCTGGAATCCACGTGTATACAGACATCTGCTGCATCCTGTCCAGTTTTACTTGCTGTGATTTGCATCTATTTTACTAAACAGGCAGTAGGTGAAGAAGAGTCTAACAGTGTTGCAAATACCCCAGCACACAAGCTGTGATAACCTTCCTAAATCTGAAGAACTGGAGAGGGTCCGGTCCCCATCTCCCACAGTCCCTTTTCTTAATGTGGCCCACATTTCTTGAGAGATTAAATCATGCCAGGAGACACTCTGGCACGGAGCTGCTGCTGCTGGCACATGTCCTGGCTGGGGAGGACCGGGACAGTGACCAGGTTACGCTTCAAGGGCCACAGCTGCCTGCTGCCAACGGGAGGATTAAAGCGCAGCAGAGGAGCGTGGGGTTACATTCAGCTTCGGCGCGAGCAGGCATAGCTCAGCTGCCATTTTTAGGGGCAGACACAGCTAAACAGCAAGGATGGCTCCAGCAGATGGATTTTATTGCAAAATATCTTTCATCTGCACAACAGAATCTTTCTATCCAAATAGACCTTAAAAACAGAAAAAGGGGTAAAAAAGGCAGAAAGACAGTTTGTCTGACCTCACTGTTCTCTTTTCCAACACAGAACATGTGTACAATAGAAGCAGAGCTGGAAAACCTATTGGGGGAGTTTTGCATCAAGATGAAAGGTAATTAATTGCCTTTTCACCTTTCCCTTTTTCCTCACTGAACAGTAGCAGTCTCTGTGCATGTTAGTGAGGGCATCAAGACATGCTAATATTACATCTCTGTGATAGGTGCTGTTTTTCCCCACTGCACCCATTGCTGAGCCCTCAAACTCCTAGTTTCTACCCCTGCCCAGTGTAAAGGACCACAGAGCCAGGAACATCAGAGCTTACGGAGAGATTTTCTGAGATGCTGCTTCTTATTTTCAAGGCTAATTGCTGCCATCAAATGCTCCTCCCAACAGCCAAAGCAATTCAGTTTTGAAGGCTGCTGTACCTTTAGCCTCTATTTCCATAATCCTTTAAGAAAATGACTGGGAAATTACATGCGTGCCCATGGAGCTGAAGTTCAAAATACTTGCTTAATTTGTCATCGGCTGCTCCCAAATCCTTTACTTTTGCTGATTCTGACTACTACTATTTTTGAGCAAATGTAAAAAAGCAAAGACTTGGGGGTAGTTTACCATTTAAACACCTAGAAAATTCAGTGGTGGCAATCACTTTTAAGTTTATTCTCAGTCTTTACGACAGAGCACTTAATGGGTTTGAATACAATGGAACCGGTTTTACCTGAAGCCGCAGTGAATCACCAGGTATTGCTAATGCTGTTATCCCTTTAAGATTCAATGTCTTTAAGAAGAGATTGTGAGGGGATCTTTTTTGGATCTTCAATCACTGCCATGAAAACAGTTCTCTAAAACAAAATCAGCATCTAAATATTCATGCATTCTTAATTCTTCACTTGAAATCTTGCCATCTGAAAAATTCACAGTATTGCTGGTGGAGTATTTAGAGCTGACAAATCTCATGCAGGGTTTTGATTCTGCCTGTCTTGTCACAGTTGTGAGTTAGTTGTGTCCAGTGGTTGCAGTGCATGACACATGATCTAGCTTAGGTCAAATTAAAATAGTTACTCCATGCTGCCATACTAGAGAAAATAAGTGCAGCAGCTCTTACTGTTCTCCTAGCTCCATCCACCCACAGCACCAAACCTCATGTTTTAAAGTCCCCACTCTTAGGTATCGGAAAGGCAGTCAAAGATGCATAGATGTGAAGTTACAAGATGGACACACAGAGCCTGAGCCAGGTATTTCTGTACAAAAACCCACAGCAGAACTGCAGCATGGACATGCTGAAGGAAACATGAGGTCATGCAGTGTAGAAATGGAATTGCATCAGGCCAGGACCTTTGAAGCATTTCCTTACCTGTTGTAAATGCAGTGCAATGTACAGTTCCTGGCAGCAGGATATGTTGCAGAAGGGGTCATGGCATTGCAGATGACTGTGCTGAAAAGGTCTGGCCCCTTCTCTTTTGAATGCCCAAATCCTCCAGCAAAGCTCAAGGGCTCTTGAGGAGCCATGTGCTGCACTCACGGGCAGGAGCAGAGCACAAACCACAAACAGCAGCTACTTCTGAGCTCTGTTCTCATTACATAAAGAAGCCCAAATTAGAAAATTGAAAATATAAATGTCATATCATTATATATTCTCTGATTAGGACATCTAAGATATCTATCTATCTAGTTTTCCCTAGAGATAAGAGTCCAGTAGGACAATCCAGCCATTGCTATTGCTAAAGCTCACAACAGCTCTAGCACAAAAGCCTACAGATCACACAGCAGGCTTCCCCCTTATGTTATACTGCAGCATATCCAGCTAACTTTAGGATCTAATTTAAAATCAAAGCATTCCTCTCTCCAAAGCTTATCTGTTCCTAACCATTCCAGTGAAAGTTATTTTTATTTTGTGCCCTCTGTCACTTACGCTGAAAGCAAGCCAACCTACATAGTGCTGTCAGGAAGCAGGGGACCCACACTGTGTCTTTATGACTGATTTGTGTATTTTTTAAAAAGAGCCTAATCATTTTTCAAAATAAAGATAATGAACTTGCCAGCATACTTTGATTACTGCTCAGGATTAATCAGCTGTTGAAATCAGGCAGGGAAACCCAGCATGGAAATGTAGAAGTTCCTGTATGGAATCTGCGTGTCCTGTTATGATGTGTA